AAGGAAGAAGATGCTAAGAAGGCCTTCGATGTTTGGAACAAGGAGTACGAGCAGGCCGGCAAGGATGTGAAGGAGAACTTGAAGAGCTGGGCCAAGGGACAGGAAGCCGAACTCGCCGAGGCCAGGGAGCGAGGGACTAGTTTGCCCGGGCATCATAGATTTGCGCCCTATAGGCCATTATAGGCCTATAGAAGTGCCTATATATAGACTTTATTCATATAGACAAAAGCTGAAACATGGATACTGTAGATCTGTAGTTCGATAGCTCATGCTTAAGCCTAAAGCATGCTTAATCGTATTTCCTGGCCAGGAGCAGGATTCCGTGGATCGCATCCGCAAGGCTCTTGAGGAGGCGCAGCGTTAAGGTAGCAAAAGCCGCTTGAGAAACATCTCGACTGCCTCGCCCCACTAATGTGTTTGGACAGATGATGACAGATGGTGTATTCAGCACATGGGAAAGATTGCATTCTGTGGCTCGAGGCTAGACCCAACTTTTTGGGTGCATAGGGAATGACGGCATCATGTCGTCGTTTTTTTGCAACTTTTCTCCGGACGGCTTTGGCCAAAGAAAATCGGAGCGCAGCTAGATTCCAGTTCACGCTCACGCTGCCAACTGTGAAGGACATTGATGAAACTTAACCAGCCAGCCTATGTAATTATCTCCGATCTCCGCATCGTGATGTTGGCTATATACTCTTTAAGTGTCCTAGCTTTGACCTCACCCGACAGCACATTCCTTCACTCCAGTGAGTAGGATGCCTCGCTGTTGATGGGCCGTTCTTACTTCCTATTTTTGTGTCCCGAGGAGCCAGAAACCAGGGGTGCTCCTGCAGCCGCTACGTGCTGCTGCTAAGCCCAGTCCTCAGAGCTGGGCCAGTCGTGCGGTTGCAAAGGGGCTAGACATGGCTAGACTAAGCTACTCACGCAGACAACGGCTATCGGCTATCGTTTCGAATGACCATGAATTGCCGATGAACAGGTTTTGGCAGTTCTGTCAAGAACTTCACTGTCCCAAGACGCCTGTGCAATGAAGGGCGCTGAATTTTAGCGAGCTTTCTTGGAACCTCACGTGGCCACGCCTGAGGCTCCCGAAGTCAGCGCGGCCCATCGTCGAAGCGCTGGCAGGTGCCATCGGCGAAGGGCGAAGGGACCAGTCGGTCGTCAGAGCAATCCACGCGTCAGGGCGGAGTGCATTGGTGCCCTTCAACAAGAATAGGCAACAAGCACTGTTTAACATCTCGAGTCAGGAGAAGCAATTGACAACATCAACAACCGATGACAGCAACAACAACCACGGTGACCTACAATGAGAAAACATGAAGAATGCTCCAAAGCAAGGGGACGGTACATTAATTACATAATAGTGAAGAAGATTGGCGACGAGCTACCAGACAAGAGCACTAGCGAGCCACAATCAGCAAAGCCGCGACAAGACATGTATGACGACAATGAACAACCCGCAACGACAGTGTCCAGGTCTGAGATCAATGACAAGTCTCCACGGCAACGACAAACATTATGACAGCAACAATGAGAACCCCCCTTTTAAGTTGCAAGTCGCCAGGCTACAGCAAGACAGCAAGAACACACATAAATAGTGGCGGCATCACTGACAAGCCTTTGTAAAAAATAGGAATGCCAAGAGCGATGGCAAACACAATAAGAATAAAGCCACTGCGGTAAGAACACTAATTAACTATAATTACATATAAATTTAGATATATACATAAACTACCAGGAAAACAATACTATATAATAGTGATCACCATCAACAACAATCGAAACAACAGGGACAACGACAACGACTACGACGACAACAACAACAACATTTCAGCAACAACAGGTCAACAACAGCAACAACAACAAGAATAACCACAACGACAACACCAACGACAACAGCAACATCCACAAACCACAACCACAACAACAACCGCATCCACATCCACATCCACAACCACAACGACAACAATGACAACAACGGCAACAGCGACAACAACGACAACAACAACAAAGCGGCCCCCTCAGTTTCCAACGAGCACTAAAGACACCCGGATACCCGTTTGATACCACCAGAAATCCTAGTTTTCCACCACCTCCAGTGGAACCCACGCAGCCACCCCGCTGCACTAACTCGAAACTCTTGCAAATAGATGCGATGGAAGACTGCCAAATGCATCCACTTCTGCCCAAAACTAACATCGTGAATGAACTCCCTGAAGAACCCACTAAGAGACCAGCATTCCCAGGTGTGGAGATGCGCGGCATTACCTATGCCGAGGGCAGCATGGCTGCAGAAATCTTGCTGGCCTTGGCTGAGAACAACTGTGAGGCTGGAAGATGTTCAAGTCACGAGGATCTCAACTGCACCTCCCATGTAGTCTGAAAAGATGTAAAAAGACTGCAGACAGTTGTAAATGCAAGCATGCGTGCTGGGAGGAGGTAGAGGCAACATCAGCCTGCAAATGTCAAGCGAGCTGTGCCAGCTGCGCTGCACCCTTCAAACATGGAGAATCTCAGTGCGAATCGTGTGTAGCATATCCCAGCTCTAACTAAATTAGATGGTAGAGATGTACACCTGAACCACCTGAAGCCTTCACTCACCAAACCTGAGACGCTGGAAGTGGACCCCCCAAACACCTCCACTGGTTGCTCTCGCCAGATTGCCACGGTAGCGAGCAAGCTCCGACCGCCCTTGTTGCAGCGATTGCCATTGCCAGATTTGGCCTCTTGGCGGAGTGCGTTGGATGGACCCAAGATTCGTCAGAAAAGCTCTTCAGCCAACTCAGCCATGTTAATCAACAAGAGCTACGGTCAACAGTAGGGAGAGTGGACAAAGGATATCAAACGTCACAGCCACTACTACTTTGCAATCTTTGCAAGGCTGACACCCAATGTTGACATAGTGGTGTGTGTGGGGGGGGGGGGTTGATGCTGTTCATGCATATTAGAAGGGTCACGGTGAATCATTAACTTCTTTTCATATTAGTGGTATGCTGCTGCTGCTGCTTGGTGGTCTGCTGCTGGGTGTGCTGCTGCTGCTGCTGCCGACCAACCTTTCGTCCCCCCCCCTTTTCTCAAGTTACGTATTGTGAAATCGATGAAAATGTTCTCAGCATGACATCCACATCTTCATTCCATCACCCCCCCCCCACCCCATTTCAATCACACGACTAGTCGATGATAATGTTGTGAAGCCGATGACAATGTTGGCAAACCGATGACAATGTTATGAACACGATGACAAAGTTATGAAACCGATGACAATGCTATGAAGCCGGAGACTACTTATTTTGTGAAATCGATGACAATGTTCGCAGCATGACATCCACATCCTCATTCCATCACAACCCCCCCCTGCCCCCACCCCATTTTAATCACACGACTAATCGATGACAACGTTATGAAACCGATGACAATGTTGGCAAGCCGATGACAATGTTATGAAAACGATGACAATGTTATGAAACCGATGACAATGCTTTGAAGCCGAAGATTACTTATCGTGAAGTGCAAACGAACGTCAGTATGCCCCATCCCACATCATTTTCAGAAAGCAAGTGCAAACGAACGTCAATATGCCCCATCCCACCCCAACCCAACCCCCCCACCTTTCACGTAGCATCAACTTCAAAAATCGCAGTAGTCACACGTTGGGTTTTACACCCGTAGGCAGAAACTAGTAGCCAGGGTCAACACACTCCCAGAGAAGCTGACCAAACCCTCAGTTGTAGAGGGAAACGTGTTTGCATTGTTTTGGTGAGGTTGCAGCATTTTTGCAGTTGTCAGATGTGCAGAGGAATCTCCCAGCCGCTTGCACTAGGTCAGCATTGTGGCAGCTCTTGGGGAGCAAGGCACATACGCGCACTGATCGTGTGTATATATTATAGGCATGCCGAGATCACTAGGGGAATGAAGGTGCTGGTTGAAGCCTGTGGAAGCTTCCAAATGGCGGAAGCCAGACTAGGGGATGGCGTATGTGCGCAATATGCATGGTGGAGTGCGACTGAAGTCGTGGCACTCATGCTCGAGTCCGAGTCTGGAGAAACCCCGCCCGCAGGTCTCAAAGATGAGCTTCTAAGGCCGCCCTTGCAAGCCAAGGCCATCTGAGAGGGAGAGGGATGGTTGATCAAAATGGAGAGAATTGTTCACGGTTTGCCAAGCTGAGATGGCCGAAAAGTCAAGAAACATTGTATTTTTTATATATCTACAAATACAATGGCGTGCGGAGAAGAAACAAGGTTTTGGATGACTTTTCTGCAGACTACTGACACTGTTCATGAGATTCAGGCGGAACCTTGGAATTTGGTGGATGATTTTGGTTGGTCCATCCAGGACACTGAACGTGTCGATTCTCGATTCGTTTTCAGGTCGCTGTGGCCGGACCCGGCCTGGCTGCCGTGCCGCCCTCGCGGCTTTTGCGCTGGGGGGCCGAGTCACAGCAAAACTCCAAGAAAACGACAGGAAGGAAGCATAAGGAAACCTTTCAAGGGTGAGACCTGGGACTATGCACCATCTACATTAGCTCATATTATTTTGAGAATACTTTCAGGGGTTGTGACATGTTGTGACAAGCTAGTGGTCAAAAGAATCTGAATACTGAGGCAGCCCAAAGAACCATTTGAGCGGCAACTCCCCATATGTAGCCCAAACGCCATTTTCAACATGCTATGAGATTTCCTTTGGCATACTATGACATTTCTGCAACAGATTGCAAGGGCCTTATATAACGTAAGCAATAAGATAGTGTGTGCGTGATTGAAGAAGAGCAGACCCCCCCCAAACCCGTTCTGAACCCAAACCGGTTTGGGGAAGCAGACCCTTCCTCCAAGTCCTACACCTTCCTACATGGTTGGACGAACGGAACGCGGCTCCGAGGTTTGGCCACGGCTTCCACACGATCGCCTTGCATCGCTGAAACGGCCTTAGGGCCAGTGGTGGCCTTAGGGCCTGGCCCGGAGAGGTCGATGGGAACGGCGCGAGAAACTAAGCTAAGATTGACGATTTACAGACAGATTTGGATAGATTTCGTGAATCACTGAGTGCACGGAAGATCACGGAAAAGACCCTTGTGCCGGCAGAATGTGGTCGGCAGTCCCTCAAGCAGGACGGAGATGGCTAAATTCAAAAGAACACGGTCACAACTTTCCATTTTTGTGTCCAAAAGAACTAAGACCCAACACGACAATGTCACAGTCAGTTTAAAGATCGAGTCTTGATGTTATATGCTCACTGAACAGCCAGGAGTCAAGGATAGCTTGAGTTCCCTTTGAAGGACAACAACTGTGCTTTGAATACCTTTCATGGCACGTGTGAGGTAGCTGGAGCCGCAGCTCAAAGTGAGAAGCTGAGAAGCAGAGACATTCCGTTTCATGTCCTGGCGTCCACTGCCACACATGTGATGGTTTGCCAAGGTTTAGAAAGTTGGCAGGGGGGCCCAGCCCGGCCAGCTGAAGTTTATGCATGGCCATCACAGTATACAATTGGTTTGTTGCCCGTGTTGAGCTTGCTGGCACTTCTTACAGGCTGCTTGTCGGAAGAAGCACTGCTTATTGCTGCGAGGACTGCGGAGGACGTAGCAGAGCTGATGTTGGTGGTGGCCACCTCCGGTGCTGCGGAGAGCCCGAGAGCCCGGCGGAGGATTTTTGGTGTTTTTCACCGAGTAGATGGATGGCGAAATGTGGCGAAGGACATCCAAGGGCCAATGGCAGCCAACAAGCGATCTGTGTGTTTGTTTGCAGTCATTTCTTGCCAACAATGCCTGATGCCAATGATCCTACAAGATCAACCAGCCAAATGAGATTGCAAGACCGGACATGCGGATACCGGATACATGTCAATCGACACTAACCTCTTGGAACTCGTCGATGACCCCCCACATTAAAAGCACCCACCGCTACTTGTCCCCAGAGCAATTGGTTTCATATTATACTTTAGGGAGACCTCCCAAAGACCCCCTGGAAAGTCAGGGAAATAGACCAGTCTATCCATTGCTTGGGTGATGTTGGGTGTCTTAAACATGCATTTTCAAAAAACCATGTATCATATATATATATATAGTAATATTTATATACGTACATTTTAGGTTCAAGTTGGAGGCCATCGCTTTTTAGGAGGCCATCGCTAGTAGGTGTTGACAGCGTCGTGACAGACCCGGCTTCGGCCCGAGGCCCTGGTGCCAAGCGGCTCTTCGGCCGCGTCACGGAGGTTTTGACCCCGCGGCTCACGGCCCTCAGCGCCACGGTGCTTTTGAAGGCTTCGGGGAGGGTGGACGAACAAAGTGCAGAGCAGAATTGGCGCGTTGTTGTTTGACCAGTGTGAATGCTACGGCTGGTGTGCATCATGCTCCAACCTGACCCAATCGGACATTCATAAAAAGGGTGTATCACTCGGGCTCTTAATGCAAGAAATTACATTTCTAACTAGAGTGACTCACCCTGGCTCAAAAAGTGTTGCTTCAGGTGGTGGTGGCAGCTGGGGCTGCTGCGGCACACTGTCAAGATTCTCAGATGTTGCTCTGAATTTTGGTTATGTTGCTCTGAGTTGTAGTTCCACCTTCTCGCCTGACCTCTTTTTGAACCAATGCATGGCCGATGTTTTTTGTTTTCTTTCTTCGTTGGACCCCAGCTGAATAATGTTCACATCGCAATAGTAACCCCCCCGAGTAAGATGTAGTAGGTTCGTCGTAAAAATCAACTATATATCCGCAACGATAAACATCAGACCTTAGGATGTTTTTGTTGATCAAAGTAGTCTACTGGCAAGACCACACGGCCGAATGAAGCGTTTAAAAACAACGTAATTGACCCACATTAATAAGCAATTCAAAAATTAATTATATACATATAAATTCAATCTGGAAAGAGGTTTGTTGGTTGTACAGGAGAAAGCCCAGTTTATGTAGAGAGAGAGGGAGAATGTTTGGTTTATTATTGCAATTTAGGAGACAGTTGGAATTAGAATGAAAAGGACGTTTTATTGTTAGTAGTCTATATGTGTATGTCTTTGGCACTCGTACGGGATACCCCTGTCAAACTGTGTTTGGTGTTTTTGAATGGATGTAATAAAACAACTACGACAATATTCAATCAAATAGTTAACTAATCAACAAACAGTTGTTTGACGATTTGCCGGAAAGAGCTTGCCTATTGTACAGGAGCAAGAAGGTTTATTGTTGTAGAGGAGTAAGTCAAGTTTACTATTGTGCGTTGATTGAACAACTGTTTTATATACACTAGTGATCACTAGTATATGATTGACTGGTCGTAAGAAATGTATAAGTATGCGTTTATTGAATTTTATTGCCAGTAGTTTGCAATTGGCTGGTCGTTTGAAATTGTATATATATATGACCTAGTGCAATTAAAATCATTTTTTAGTTGACAGTAGTTTTACAACTGACTGGTGACTGGTCGTAACCTATTGATAAAAGCCAGTCTATTTTTGACAGTATTTAGTTCGTACCCTTTTGGAGAAAAGAAACGGGTTTATAATTGACTCGCTCTCCCTTTTCAACCTACTGAACTTAGCCTAGAAACCAATGCCTTTTCGAAGCACAGCAATTCCGCGGTTCCAGCCCACCCCCAGTGAGAGAGGCCGGGAACTGCTGGAAGCTGCAGCTCACAAAGCAGCCAGGGAGCTGAGCATGGTCTTCTTGTGTGACAAGTCTACAGGTTCCCAACCTGCAAGTCTTGTTGATCGCTCTCATTTTCACAGCAGCTATACCCTGAAATCCATTTCCAGAAAGGGTGTTTCTTCGCAGCCTGCAACGCTTTTGGAGATATCTCCACCTGCCCAGCAGGGCAAATTGGTATTGGACACCTGGCATTGCGGTGGATCATGCTCAACAGATGCACGCAGCCAATGCTCAAACAATAACAATTATCAAAGCATCACACGCAAGCCGTGCAAGGACGCTACTAGGGGCTCCTGGCCTAACTAGATCTACTAGGACACCCATGCTCACTAGATCTCACAAGTCATCGGATTGTCTACACACTAAAAAGATCATTAGACATTGGACGGTTTCACAAATAAGTATATTCCCGTTTCGCCAGTAAGTTTGCCAATTTCAAGTGATGCAGTTCATCAAGGTGCGTTTTCGTTCGACAAAGGTCAGTGGTAGAGACTTGGACACCTGACAGCCACACGCCTATGTAAAAGTCATACTTAATGGGAAGTGCTGAACTTCACACTCTGAAGGAGGTGCCCTGTTCTTTTCAGGGCTGCCACGATCCGGAACTGGCAGCACTTCCGCATTTCTGTTCCAGTCCGGCTCCCATGACCAGCTGCGCTTGCATTCTTGCCCGACATGTTGGCGCGCCCACGGCCACGCCCTGGGGGCACTCCTTTGCCGGGAAGTGGAGCCACTGAGAGGGAAAGTGGTCACTGGAAACGCTTTTGGCTCAACATAGAAGCCACTGGGTTCTTAATAACTGGCGTATATACTAATTCTGTGATACTGGGTTCGCTAAGTGGTTTGGCTGAGAGAGTGCTGTAACAGTGATCACTAGTTGAATCATGGTGCTATCCGAGATATGATGAGCAAACAACAGCGACAAAGTTGATTGGTGTTCAAGGCATCAGCACTCCAAGTCCGTGTCTATGGAGCTTCAAAAATTCCGGCACATGAACACTAACATGATAATCCAAATCGGTTCAACATTGCACCGGAAGCATGGCGAATGCAGGAAAAAAGGCATGGTCCACGCGTCAAAGAGGCTCCAATCGATGCCAACAAACAAGAATGATGCTGCTAAGGCATGGCTGAAAGTGTTCACTCATGCATGTAACGACGTCAAACAGTACCAGAGTGCCTTTTCGTTCTCCAAGGAGCCCAGTGGCTTACTGACACCGGGCCCATGCGGCTTGCCGGGTCGTGGCAAGGTGACGAGTCTGTTTTGTCTTGCACTAGGGGCATTCTCATCTTGCAGTGCGATGCAGTGCGCAGAATGACCAGTTCTGCTATCTAAAGAATCTACAGTAATGGAAATGCCCAGCATTGGCCCAACATGCTGAGAATCTAGCCAGGAGAAGAAGCTGCAATTAGACAAGCAGATGTTCGAGACGATCCTACAAGAGGCTTGTGAAATCGCAAACTGTCGGTCTGCTAGCGTGGGTGGAAGCTGAGGTTCGGGGCTTCACTGACGAAGAGCTCTATGATCAGCTGAGCAGCTGGCAGGCGGGGCCGGGCTGGGGAGTGTGGTACGGTCGTGTTCATGGTGGACCCAGTTGAGAAGATCCGATAAGAATCCTGTATGTCAGCAGCATCGCAGCCTTGTGCATGAGTCTCATGAGGTTCAGGAAAGCATGTACAGTGGTTTCAGAGTATATAGATGGCACACTCCCCAAAAGGAGCTTTAGATGGGCCCCCCATCTAAAGGACATCATGGGGTTTGTGCCATCTATAAACAACTACAAAAAACTCGAAGGATCCCCAAGACTCGGCGGGTCCTCAGTAGTAAATGGCGCTGAAAGAACGAACACTCATCAGGCAGGTGGCCATAGAGTGGGTAGCATTGGAGCTCAGCCAACCTAATACGTTGTGGCCAAAGATTATCACTATTTTGGAGAACGGCCTTTACTAACCATCATCATCCACTGTTACAGGGAATGGGATACACCCAACCACCGAAATTACATACAATTAATTACAAATTATATATTACATTACATTACAGTATATAGGGAAGCTGTTCATCGTGAGCCTGCATCACGATTCACCTCAGTCACCTTAGGTATCCAGCTATGGTTGGGGGGGGGCCTGCGCGCGTCCATCCACTTTCGTAAGGCGCTCCAAGTGAAAAGAGACATTAAATCTTGCTTGCGGAATTGGGAAGGCAAGTTGCTCAGCAATCCCGTGAGCATGTCACGGTGAGATGGAGCTGTTGAGAGAGGGAGACCCCATACCAATTCGTTTTGGTCAATTTCCCTTCTTCCAGCTGGTCTTTGGGAGGTTCCCCTATCTTCACACACCCATCTAGAGTTTAGAGCAGCTGGCCAGGAGCATCCAGAGTTCCTGGCACGGCAGCAGCAGACGGAGCAGCAGCTTCGGAATGAAGTGGCCAAGTTGCAGGAGGAGCTTCAGATCGTGATTCATGCTTGGAGAACTCATACATCGCTTTCAGGTCACGACTAGCACGTCCAGACGTGCAATGTGGGGCTAGTCGTGTGGTCGCATGTTGTGTAATTAGTGTTTGAGACTAGCAAGGTGGATCCTGCAGTGGACGTTTCAATCAGGAGGTGGACCATCACCGAAGCATTGCCGCAGAAGCGCAGCAGAAAGCTGTGGAGGCTCAGGCCTCTCAAGCAGAAGCGCTGCGAAGGCAGGCATATAATGTCACTCAGATGTTATGTTTTAGAATGCAGTAGACATGATGTTATTGGATGTGCGGTCAACTCACGAAACAGTTCCGCAAGAATTGTTCAATCGTTCACTTTCAAGATTGTTTTTGTAACGGTTATATATATATATATATACATATTGCACAAATGCTAGAGCAGATGCTAGCTCGAGATCATGTTGGATTGCAACTTTTCATTTGATCCCCGTCTCCAACTCCGGAGGAATGACTTCCGCTTGAGCCTGGTGAAGCGTCAACTTCAATCCATCAAGCGTGGAACCTCTGCAGCCAGTGGCCTTGCTGAGCGCTGTCGGGACTGCCAACGGCGCGCTGAGCTGCTTGGACGGCAGATGGCAGTGTGAACGGCAAACGGCAAGTATGGCCCTTTGTTTGGGGGGGCATAGCACAGCTGTTCATTGTTCTTGTGCGAGATCAATGGCCGGGTGCCCGGCTGAGGCTGCTGGATTTGGAGCGCGAGGCAGTACAAAAGGAAGCTCAAATGAAGAAGAAGGCTTGGCAGGCCTGGGGCGTTTCGATGCATTGTGGTTTCGACATGTTTCGACTATAAGCAGGCAGAAGTTGGAGAGCGCCCCTCTCCAGCCAAAGGCTGTCTTCGTAAAGATGAAAGCGCCCACTGCACTACCCAAGATGACAATCAACCAGTAAACAGAGTATTGAATAAATTTCAGGAGCGGAACTTTGTGTTTCGAGCTGTTTCATGGGAATGAATCTGGCCGCTCAATCTCTTATGACATTATGCTTATGCAGAATGAATGCACCGACTGCATGTCCTTTTGGCAAAGAACGAAGAACATGTTCAGCTGCGAATAGTTCCACCTGAAAAGCTGTAGAGGTGCAGACCAAGCCGTCATGAGCTGCAGGAAAGCGAGCAGGAAGCTTCCCACTTGTCGAATCAGCTGGCATCGCTGGAGCAGCAGCAAGCTAAGTCAGCTTTGACCCGGTCGTCCATCCGCGAACAGGACGGCGAATGGGCGCGCACTGGCGGCTCTTGAGCCATGTGGACTAGCCATGACTTGCCAATATACATATTTAAGAAATCTTAAGCCCAGCCTGCCCCTGGGACCAGAAAAGAACGCCCTGCACGTGATGACGGAAACAGCAGTTGCTCAATTCACTCAATCTGGATGAAGCCCGCCTGTACACGAACTTCGCAGAGAATTGAGTATACAAGCCTCGAGAAATCTCAAGAAAAGCTTGCCTGAGTCAGTGAAGTCAAAGGACTGGAATACATTGGAATACACATCAGCAAACCCATTTGGACCATTGTCACTTGTGAAGATCCTGTCCAAAGCTGCGCAACATCTGCATACGTTTTGCCGCCCAAGCCTCGACCGATGCTAGTTCCCAGGAGGCCAATGCTCGTTCTGAAGAGGTTGAGGCCTCGGACCTCCTGGTGGAGCGCACCGATCTGCAGCAACGCCTGCGGAAGCATCAGGCACGATGCGGCAACGACGCGAAGACGGTGTGACAGTGTCCCTCCAAGATCTCCAAGAGAACTGAGTCTTGGAGAGATATGTGCGAAAGCTAAGAGAGGCTGGGTGATGGATGGCTTCTCAGAGCTGGTTCCTTTGGATGGTGTATGATTTTGTTATGATTTTGTTGTCGTTGTTATGATGTTGAGTGCAATAAATAGATTATAGAATGATTACACCAACTCTGTAAATTATATATCATTCAGGCCAGGCATTTGTGTTTGATGTTTTTGATTGAAGGCTCCACAGTCAGGGTCGGACTAGACTAGACCAAATGGTTTGACTTCTTGATGGGACACGAACCATCACGAACCCAATTTCCTGGCTGCACAGGAGATGATTCAGCTTCGCCAGCTTCTGCTGGAAGAGCGGATGCTGCTGGAGAAGCGCCACTCAGTGGAACCCCTGTTCACATCACCCATTGAGAAGATGACATGCCTATTTGATGGAGAGGGGAGAGTGGTCGAGACGCCAGTTACATTTCCCTTATACAAGCGGTTTCAAGGGACAGCGGCAGGCTCTTTGTATAGCCCTTCCCGTCGCACGCCACCAAGGCAAGATGAGTTCGGGCGAAATGTTACGCGAGATATCGGAGCTTGAAGAACAGGCTGAGTGGCAGATTTTCAATTACTTGTACGGGATAGCATGCCTCACAGTATGGGTGGATTCCATGCGCATTTAGCCAGGCATTTGTTTCGCAGAAACAAGAGCCAACCACTTTGGAAGGTGATTGAGTAACATGCAACAGGTTGCAAACACAGCTTCAGTGAGGCTGTAAGCTCCAGAGGCCAGTGCGTAGAGAACAGGATTCTGAACCTGTCATTCTGTAATCCAGACATGGGCCAATCATGGCCAATGTACGCTTCATTGTCTCATCCTGACGGAGGCAGACGATGTGGAGCGTAACGCGCAACGCTGCGTTGCGGATTTGCGAACATCTTTGGAGCGCTTGGCGCAGAGATGTGAGGATGCGCGGAAAGCGAAGGAGATCAAACGACGCTGTTGGCTGGTGCTTTTATGTCACCCGCTCAGTGTACTTGCCCAAGAGCTCAGCTGTATGATTCTTTGTGTTTGCCCCTGAGGAAAGATCGGTCGAGAGGGGGGGAGATGATGACAATTAATGATGAATCAAGAACACTTCACCCCATTGCTCAAGGCATTTGATGCTCACATTGCAAGTAGATATAGATGGAAGGCGTTCGATATGTATCGAGCATTTTGTCCTCGTAACTCGTAGTCAAGTATGCCTTATGCCTGACAAAGTTTTGTTCCCGGGTTTGCTGGCAGCTTCTGGGTGCAGAGGACCAGGCGGAAGATTGGCTTGGTGCTGTTTGGGCTGCGCTGAACCAGCAGAGGACACACGATGTTTGACCAAGGTCCTGCAGTTAAGTATGTTCAATGACCAGAACTGCAAAGGTTACCCTACAGTCCTTGTGGTTGTGGGTTGATTATGTCACGATATTGCCAGCCGCAGTAGCATCAGAGGTCTGAGGTCTACGTACCGCAACTCGCACCCGCTCCTTGTCGCACAGTGGACCATGTTGTTTCTTGTCGCCGGTGCAGGCGGGAGCAGATGCTCTTGCACCGGCGGGTGAAGGAGGAGGACCAGTGGGCCAGCCGCTTGCAGGAGCGCACCGATACTTTGGACGCTTGGTTGAGAGCCCAGGGTTGCGTGTTTCCATGCGTGCCCTGGTGGACCAGGTCATGTATTAAAGATTCCTTCACACCATGGGGAGGGGCTACCAAGTTTGCCTATTGTCAATATTTATGTTTGACATTGGTCAGTGATTGGGTGGTTGGCACTGGGGCTTGAGTTTGAGCCGGCAGCCTGCATGTGCATATACAGCAAGGGGAACGGAGGAAGACACTTCCCAGATGTGAGGCAATGCCTTGAAACCAAGGTGGATGAACTCGGCGTCTTAGAGCGTGAAGCCCTCACACCGCGTGCAATCTCCAGCGCCGCAAGTGAGGTGCGACGAGATGGGTACTCTGAAGGAATACAGTGCAATGATTCAATGATGGCATGCGGGGCAAAGTTGTCACTTAGGGATTTTCCGTTTTTAGTGATGAAAGTGTTTATTGCCATCATAACAAGGCATATGAACCACATTCAGTCACTTGTGGCATCCCGTGGCTTGGCAATCGTGCCGCTCAAGACATTACAATTGCCTTCAACTTTCAATGCTCAAGACGTAACAAGCTTCACTGTATTCCATGCGAAGCAGAGCTGGTCGAAAACTCTTTGCCCTTTTTCGATGCTCGAACACCCTCCGCACTCGAGCAGGAGACCGTGCGGACCCTTGCGTTGCTGCAGCAACGCCGAAAGAACTTGCGGCGTGATTTGTCGGTGCAGCTGGCACTCTGCCGGCAAATGCAGGGCAAGGTGAAGGAAGCAGAAGGCCTGGAGTCTCTCAGGGAGCCGGGCTCACAGAGAATTCCTCAGGGCTTTGATATGTTGGGATCACGCTTTGAAACATGGCTTGTGCCATTGAATCCCAACCCCTGTTGTCCCCCTGTGAGGCTGCATGCCAACCACCAAATCACCCATGCATAGAATACGAGCTTGCTTTGATTAAATGGGTGTGATTCACATGTATTTGTCACATATAGGCACAGGCTGCCGGACTGCAGTCTGGTGGAGATGTCACAGTGAACTGATGGAAAAGATGTTCGAAAGTGTTGCTTTTGCCATTAGACGCTTTTAGCACTTTTGAGCCGTCGGTCAAGCAGGGTTTTCTATGTTTTTTGTCGGGGGGGATGACCCACCAATGGCAATTTTTCTTGGAAGGGTCCACGACTCTCCCCAACAGATTTGAGTGAAGATATCACTGCTTCAAAATTAGGTAAAGCATTCAAAAGCACAAACACACACACACACCCATATCTACAGTATATTTTTTTGGTAATATGTTCTTCTCGTAGAAGGGCAAGAGCATAACACGTTGGCATGCTGCACATTCCTGTGTTGGGTGTCCCTTATGCGTTTTTTGCGCAGGCGAGCAAGCTTTGCTCCTGGAGCAGTTGAGGCCCTTGCAACCGATGCTGGCCTTACCAAAGACCTGAGATCGTCCCGAACAAACGAAGCCTGCCATGTCTCAAACTCAAGGGTCTCCAGCAAGACCGAAGGGATGAACCACATTAGGTTCGGGTGGGACATCACTGGCCTGTGCTCCACTCGGGTCATCCATGTTCGCTTTTTGGCCGTTTGGGGATTCCTTGAAGCTGACACGATCACTAGGCAACTCGTTGCCGGATTGCTCCCATTGGCAGCAATGTCGTATCATAGCGGGCTTGCAGTTGGAATATCCCAACATTATATACATGCACTTAGAATCAAATATAATCAAATAGAATATTCAAAAGCGCATTAGGGTAGGTGTGAAAAGTTTGTAGTTAGAATATGTTGTGCAGTTATCAGAACGTTCAACAAGCAGCCTTTTTTCCCTCGCAATCCCGATGTGTTTGTATCCATGGCCATCTAGATGTCTAGAGCGCTGAAGAGCCAAACGTTACGGGTCGGGATATCAATGGTCCTTCATCCATGTCAAATCGGAATATCAATATTCAATGTGCGTCCCTGTATTCTATTTGCACATGTTTTCCCTAAATCTGACTCACCCCTTTGACATGCACATCGTTGAGTTCCGATTTAATGAATAGCATTCTATGTGCAAGGCCGCTATTCTAGAACATGTTCAGGTTTCATTTCTCGGGATGCTATTGTGATCCCTGGCTTTGGAAGGGATGGTCATCTTTGTGTCATTTTGTGACTGCCTTATCAATCACAAGGCGTAAATACGACGAGGTGAACAGATAGCATAGAAGCACCTGTTACACCACACGATCCAAAAAATACAGTGATGAATTACAATATATACAAAAAAAAGGAACACACAAACTCCTTTGATTCCTTCACCATCATGCGTGCCGCTTCTATTTTTGGAGATGATGGTGCCTCGACCCAACTCCAGAGCGCCATAACGATGTCGCATGATGCCACTCGTTCAGATAGCTTTGTTTGCATCCATCCCTTCTGAAACCTGGTGCTTGCACTTGTATATAGACGATGCTGGCTGACAAACATGGTGAGCATGTTTGTTTGCCATGTGCCAATCAGTCAAGCTGCCTGCAGGCTGTAGAAGATCTGCGGAAAAATTGTAAAACAAACAGAAACCATATTGTGTTTGCTCCAGTTGACAACTTCCCCGATGTTGTTTTAATGATGCTGTCGACATGCAGCACCATGCACATTTATTCCAATCCACGTTTGTCCATACGTTCAGCCCAGTGTGTCAACAGCAAAACTAAGCTATATGTTGTGGTAACAAAATCATGACAAACATGCATCCAGTCAGCCCTTTCCTGTTTGTGTTGCACGTGACTCGTTGCACGGGGTAGTAGCATGGCCCAAAGCATGCTGAGGTTTTGAAAGGAGCCGATATGAAGCCGGAGCAGGTGATGTTGCTCACGCAAGGGGTTTGGTGACCTAATTTGGAAGGGTCGCTGGGGATCAGCGGGACGTTCAGAATCAAACTGAGGGAATCAACGAGTTAGAAGCAAACTATATTATAGACCTTGCCTGCGCCATACTGAAATCCTAGGGGCAGACCACCAGGTCTCAGAAAGAAGTAAGTTCATTATTAAAAAAAAGGACGTCAGGTAGGGCCCCAGGAAATTACAGCAGAAATGGGGCTTTGAAAAATCCTGGTGCCCAAGGTATCAAGACACGTAGGCGCCAGGATTCCAAAAACACGTTAGACTACAGGATTTCACTAAAGCTGCAGGATTTCACAAGTTAGAGATACTGGAGAGGACGCTTTTCGTGGACAGTTTTTGTCAACCTTTTTGCTGTGGCTGTGTTTGTCGTCAATTCCGTTCATTGCAGCATTTGCTTACACTCTTTGCTCGGCTGATAGAAACACACGGCTGATGAGGGCACTGGAGCGACCAGCTAAGGTAGATACCCAGGATTTAATAAAGCATTTGATCAGCCCCGACTCCTTTCCCTTGGTTCCCAACCCTTTGGGGCACGTTGGTCCATAGGATTTCTCCAAAAACAACTCTTGAGAAAAAAACACCTAGGGCACCACTGAAAAACTAGAAAGTCACCTTGGTTCGGTAGGATTTTAATACGTAAAATGTTGGGGATCTACCTTAACTGTCGGTAGCAAGGGACTCTATATTAGATCTTTCTTTCTTTTCTTGTTTCATTAGCGATGGCCTCCAACCTAGAAGCTACTTGCTCCTAGTAGGCCAGGAGCCCCTAGTAGGGTCCTTGCTCCTAGTAGCGATGCCAGGAGCCCCTAATAGCGATGCTCCTAGTAGCGTTCTTGTTCCTAATAGCGATGGCCTCCAACCGTTCGAAGCATGTTGAAAGTCGAAAGACCTTCCGTTCGTCGACCGAGGTGCTGCCCCTGGGTGGTGCTCATCCGGTGATTCCCTCGAGTGAAACGATGAGTGAGCTGGAAGAGGTGAAACTTTTTGTTACTACGAGTAAGGCACTTGTTACTACTAGCGAGGCACTTGTTACTATTACGAAATGGACGCAAAATGGTCTGTGAGCTGTTAGCCTCTAGATGCTGCTAGCTATTGGTCAGCTCCGCAGTCCATTAAACCTGCCAGGCGTTGGCTGGTGGACATGCAACCTTCTACAACCCAGCATGCAACCCTTCGCGTCAAGAGATCAGAGCAATAATTCATTCTTCGCATCATGTTCACCACCTGACCCCTGTGGCACTGTGGGGCGAAGCCCGGCGACCGAAGCCGTTCAGGTCGTCGCCCGGCTCCTGAACTTCTGGGTCCGAAGCCGAGGGTCAGCACCGACGCAGTTCCACCCCCTGCTTTCTGAAGGAAATGAAGGTACAAGGAAATGAGTGCACTGAGTGCACTTTCTTTCAGAAAGATTCAGAAAGCACACTTGCAACTTGCAACTTGCAAGACAAGCACTTGAATTCTCTATGAGAGGCAGTGTTGAGGGACTAGCAATGTGCCAGAGAATGCTGGAACCTGGGGTGCCAGACCAGTTCACGATGCAATTGTGTCAACGGTTGCTCGCTACCCCGTCCTTCCCGTCCTTGGGATTTCTCACAACTGATTTAGACGATGTGTGTGTGTGTAACCCTTGGAATCATAGGGGTCCTTTTGGATTTGCTCAGCTTGCTTTCTCACTTTCCAGTTTTACCA